TGTGTGTGTGTGTGTGTGTGTGTGTGTGTGTGTGCGTGTGTGTGTGTGTGTGTGTGCGCGTGTGTGTGTGTGTGTGTGCGTGTGTAATAAAGTCAGTAAAGCCAATTCCAATTACCAAACTACTGTCCAGCCGTCTGACTGCCGCCGAGCGGTCCAGACATAAATAAATAAAAAGCTCATTTTTTCAATTAACTGACAAGAACAGAAATGAAGGATATTTTTTGGGGTGTAATTGTGGTTCGTTTAAGTTTTGCGAAAAATGTTTTTTTCCAAGTACTCTTGGTTTTATTTCATTTTATCACCAAATGTTTTTTTTTCCTTCGTCAATTTGAGCTTTTGTTCATTTTTGTTAACCACAACAATCTTGGTCCCTGACTGCAAAGCAAAGAGCGCGGTCGCGGCTTTATTTGACTGTCCTGTTTGTCTTCTGTTTGGATCCAACGACAGATGGCCGGACAAACCGGGGCATTCACCAGAAAATCATCAATCACTGAGCGTATAGGTGATGACAGTCTTTCATTGGTACACTAATGCAGGCACAGAGATGACGGAAAAGGTACAAATTGCATCGACTATTCGTTTAAACTCGGGGCGGGCAACTCAAGGGCCGCCATCCTGCAGGTTTTCGTTCCCTTCCTCCAACACACTTGATTCAGATGATCGGGATCATGATCGTCCAGCTCTGCAGAAGCCTGATCAGCTTCCTGATCATTTGAATCGGGCGTGTTGGAGGATGGAAACATTTACAACATGCGGCATAGCAGGCCCTCGAAGACCCAAGCTGCCCCCGCCCGGTTTAAAATTGTCGATCTGTATCACAAACTATCAGTCAAAGGCATTTTGATATCACTTTCAATTGCACCATCACACACAAAATAAACGGCTTACAAATGATTTGAAAGACATCAAATGCAGCAGAAGTGCGCATGGAAATCTGTCCGTGGCACCGAGATTCCACAAGGTGGCACCAAAGTCACGTCTCATCGGAAAGTAGGGAAAGTTGACCTTAGCTACGACATGGGTACCCACATTCGGTACCTGGGTAGGACTACTTTCTATTCTTGGGAAGGGCATCATTTGGCATCTTGGAGAGTTTTCAGCAAATCACGGCAGAAAGGTTTCGCTGTAATTCCACGCGCATGACCGAAAGGTACCGATGAAGAACGAAGCTCTTCTGGACCGAATTTATTGCTGGGGTCGGTTCGGGAAAGGAATTGGAGGCTCACTGACCTGATATGAAGGATCCGGGCGGCATCTGACTGTAGTTGGCCCCGCCCATGAGGAGGGCGCCAGGGGGGGCCGGGGTGAAGGGGGCGCCGTAGTTCTGAGGGGTGGCGTAGGGTCCGGGAGGGATCGGCTGCACCGAGGAAAAGAAGGAATTAGGTTCAGGCAAGATGGCATTTACGAACCGGGGCGCGGGGGAGAAAAAACAGCAGCAGCAAGGGGGATGGGAGGAACATTGTAAAGTGCTTAAAGATGGTGAGGAGAATCTGCTGACTAAGCGCTTGTGGAGTGAAATAGCGCAGGTTGATGGGCTCTGTGTTTTTACTGGCCGCCCTCCATCGGTTTTTCCACTGGCAGCCTGCGCAGGTTGGAGTGTTTGCTCTCGGAGTCAAAGGCAAGCGACTGACCGGGGGGGCGTGCGTCTCCGTGCCCTTGCTGGCCAGCCGGCTCAGGATGCTCCTCTCGGACATCTGCAGGCGCGCGGCGATGGGCGGCACTCGGGACAGCGTGGCCGGCAGCCGGGTCACGTCGGCCTTCATGTCGCTCAGCAGCTCCTCCAGCTGGTTGAGCACTGCAAGGACAACAAGACGTGACTCCGCGGCTCCCGGCTATTAATGTCTTCCAGGTGGAATTATCTGCTTTTTGTTTTGCTTGGACTGCGATCGTCCAATTAGGATAATTTTCCATGGCTCTGATTCCATTTAACAATATTTGGATCATCTGGAACGATACCATTCGATTCAAGGACTACAAATACGTAGTGATTAGGGTCTTACTTTTGGTGGTGGGGGGTGGGGGCAATATAAATGTGTGAATTGAATACCTGTAGGGTACAAGTGAATATTTTTTACTTACAGTACCAGGTGACAACTGACTGTAGTTACCTAGCTAGCATACGTAGGTAGCTCCTATCGAGATACCTACCCACTTAGCAGGGTACCTAAACAGGATCCGCTTATGTTCAGAACAATGTGACAGAATTCTATTCAGTTTTTTTGTTATTGATTTTTGGCGGAGGGAAATCTGCTAATCACTGTATCTCGCTGTGTAAGGATGCAGATAGCGCAGGTGCCACTGACCTTTGTGCAGGACGGCGTTGGCCGGCTTGTTGCCCGCCAGTGACTCCTTGCTGAGGTGCTGGTGCGACTCAGCCAAGCATTCCACCTCGGCGAAGCGCGCGTTGAGCGCCATGGCCGGGTGGCTGGGGTCCTGCGTCATGTTCAGGTAGGCGGCGCGCCGCAGCTGCTCCTCGATGACCAGAGCCTGCTCCAGCAGCTGAAAAAAAAAATGGGAATGTGTGTCTGTCTTTAAATATAAAGTCCGTGTTCTGCTTGTCCGTGTCTAAAAACACCAACAACAATAATAGTAATAATAATAATGATGTTTTCCCAATTTTTGGTCCAAAACCGTTGTTTTTGGTGAACCCAACCCATGTTCTGATTACTTCTGATCACAAGGGGGTCAAAAACATTTTTAGGTGAAAGAAGAAAGTCAACATTTTCTTGAGGTAGGTTTAGTACTTACATTGTCAGAGAAGAAAATTCTGTGGCTTTTGAAAGATAAGTGAAATTGCTCAAATAAGTTCTGGATCTAAATATGCTGGAAATCCTGGAAAAAAAATTGCACCATTTTTTTTTTTTTGTCATCATTATTTTGAGCGATGAGTAAAAGGGCGACAGTTGCCGTAAATGAGGATGTTCGACGATCTGAAACATGTGAGGCAGTCAAAAACAGGATGAGAAACGCTGCAGTCAGCACTCTGGCGGGGCCAAGATGTGGGCCGTGGGGCGTTTTGTCAGGTGATTGATGACAGCAAAGTGCTCAGAATAAAGTGGAGGAGGTTGCCAAGAACTAGATCTGTCTTTGTATTTTACATTCAGTGAACCCTCGTTTTATTGCCGTGGATATGTTCCAGACCCGCCCGCAACAGGTGAAATCCGCAATATCAAGAGACAATCATTTTTTGTTAGTTTCACCCATAAAAAATGCTTTGAAGTCTAAACACATTTCAAGTTGAAACACTTTGTGAATGCATTTGAGCTCGAAAACATTTGCAAGCACGAACTATGAATAGTTATATTACTAATATGTATATCATATTATAGTAAATAAATGGTTTGAACAGTTATATAATAAGACTTTTACGTCGTCTTACCTTGAAGCGCCGAGCCAGGAACTTGTTCTTCATCTCCAGGAAGTTGCCTTTGTTGGCCTGCGACTTAAAGGGCTCGTTGACGATGGCGAACGGCAGATCGTTCTGGATGTCCTGCCACCGAGCGTAGCCGTGGCTGGTGCTGAGGTCAAGGACGGTTGCTCAAAACATCAGTCAAAAATGTATATTTAGGGAAAATAAAACTTTCCTACCTGAAGTCAATGTTTAACTTTTTCTTTTTTTAGGCCAGCGCCTAAAAAAGACTAACACAACACACACACTCACACAACACTAAAGTCATAGGAGCACTACAGTGAGTTTTGTGCCAATCGGGAATTTTCCGAGATGCCAAATTTATGGCGGATATAGCTGGCCTATGGGTGATGGAGTTTATGAAACACAAGAACTCAGAGTGGGCGGTGTTATAAAACAAAATTTATGTCATTGATATGCAACCCAGACTCGCAAAACAGCAAGGACAACATGTACTTAAGGTTTTATTTTGCTGTTAAAAACAAGCGCGGCGGGGGGTCGAGGGGGTCTTGATGGGAGCTGGCTCACTGCGCCGCTAAGGATACATGACGATTCCTGCCAGGAGCCAGAAATCGTGGCGGCGGTGCCAGATTTCGCTCATCTTCCCCGAGGAGATGGCGGCCCGCTCCTCGTTCTGCCAAAGAGTGTGTAGTTCTGTGGGGGAGAGGAAAACATACCAGCTCTCATCTTTTTTTTTTGTTCATATATTATTTATATTTTATCCAAGTCCAACCTGTCGACCAAGGTAACTCCTTAGCTACCTTCCTTGGGTATCTCTTGACTACTAAGTATTTATGTACCTCTCTCCCAAGTTATCGCCTACCTGCTGTACCTTTCCTTATTAAGAATTACCTGAGTGGAAGTATGTACTTAGCGCATTGCATCAGATAGTTGTACCTCATCTTTGCTGGAAGTAAAAATGGGTGTCCCACAAGGGTCAATTTTGGGCCCCATCTTATTATCCATTTACAGTACATAAATAATTTAGGGCGGCATGGTGGTCTACTGGTTAGCACGTCCACCTCACAGTAAAGAGGTGCAGGGTTCGATTCCGGCTCTGGCCTTCCTGTGTGGTGTTTGCTTGTTTTCCCCGTGCCTGCGCAGGTTTTCTCCGGATACTGCTGTTTCCTCCCACATTCCAAAAACATGCAAGGTAGGTTAATAATTAATCTCTATAAATGTCCCTAGGTGTGATGGCAAGCACAAATGGTTGTTGCTCTATGTGTGCCCTGCGATTGGCGGGCGACCAGTTCAGGGTGAACCCCGCGCCTACAGCCCGAAGACGGCTCCAGCATGCCCATAACCCTGGTTAGCGGTCATAAGCAATTAGACAATGAATGGATGGATTGATGGATGGATAAATAATTTAGGGAGGTTCATCTTTATGCAGATGATTATTCTGTACATTACCAAAAAAATACATGGAGAGAGAGAGGATCTTGACCTCCCTTTCTACATTCCTTTCATGGTGGGGAACAATATAAACACGGTCTTCATATAATGTATGTTGTGGAAGTATTATTATTATTTTTAATTTCAGATTAACATTGTATCACAGTGACTGACCAGTGAAACCGCCGTCAGCAATGTTAAACATGAAGCGAGGCCGCTCAGCAGGCAGTTTGCCGTTCCCTTTGGGCAACTCCGCCTTCGCCTCTCGGAATTCTTTCCCAGGATCCATTTCATCTTTCGTTTCCTCTGTTCATGACAACAAGTAAACGTCAGGTAGTGTTTAGGTGCAGGGCGAAAACCCCGCCCCGAAAGATTTGATTGACAGCTGTCTGATTGACCTTTCTTGGTTTCGGCGTCCTCCTTGGAGTCTGCTACTTCCGCCTTCTCCGTGTCTTTTTGCTGCTCCTCGGCCGCCTTTTCGCCATCCAAGAGACGAGGAGCTTTAGCGTTTCAGAAGAAGCACAAAAATGTGAATAGCTGGGGATTAGTTCCATCCAAACAATAAATAAATAAATACATAAATATGACAAGAGGTGAATTAATGAATAGTGAACCTCGACTAGGCGGGAGATTACTGTACCTTCTTTCTCTTCTTGCACCTGCCCGTCCTGTTGGGTTGTTACTTTGCATTTGTCTGGCAAATTCCTCTCCTGTGGTGAGGGGGCGATTGGTTCGTCCTCCTCCTCCTCACGCGGTTGGTTGCCATCACCGTCTTTGCCGTCAGTGTCTTTGCCTTCGTCGTCTTTTCCCTCCGTTGTCAGTCGGGGAGGAGATACGCTTTGCGCAGCGTCAGGCTGAAATCAAGTAATGAGGGACCACATTTGATTTTTATAATAGACATCATGCTCAAGTAAAACAAAACAAAAAAAAGTTTAAAAATTTAGACCGCACTAAAATATAGGAAAATAATGGATACAATAATTTGTTGTTTAAAAAATGAACTTAAATAAATGCGTTAAAAAAAGCTGCAAAAGCAATGTACCTAAAAGTGAAAAACAACTGAACTGGAAAGGATTAAAAAAAAAAATTAAATTAAATTAAAAAAAAAAAAAATGCAGTTTGAACATTTAGCATTGCAAATCACATAGAAATTCTTAAAACCGTGTTGTTATACATGACTCGTGATCATGTATATGTCATTTAGACTCCTATTTTCACCACAGGAGGAGCCGAAACAAAACCTTGCCCAAGTTCCAACAAAAATTAAAGATTATATCAAAGCTGATTAAGCTTTAACATTTCCTTCGTGTGTCACCTCTTTGTTTCCCTCTTTGCTGTCATTTTTCTCCTTCTCAGACTGGGCTTCGCCATTCTCCTTGTCCTCCCTCTCGCCCTCCTTCTTGTTCTTTTCGGGCTTGTCTGCTGGCGCGGGTGTCGCTTTTTACAGCAACGAAATGTCGTGAGCTCACTGGTTGCCTGGAGAGTCAGTGTACTTTCATGAATGCCGCTTACCTGGCTTGGAGGTGCACGGCGTGTTGTTGTAGCTGGCGTCCGGCGTGGGCGTTGCGGTCTTGGGAGTGGGGGACGATGCCCTGGAGGAGGATTTGTCCAAGCTGACATCGGGCTTGAGCTCCGGGAGACTCCAGCGCCCGTTGATGTGCTCAAATTCCTGAATCTGCAAGTAAAAAAGATCACAATTATGTCCAAACCAGAAAATCGGGCAGTGATTCTCAAAGTCTGCTAGCTTAATGCTAACACAGAATGTGAAATGCCATTGATGGGCTAATGGAACTAGCATTGCCATTGCAGGCGTTATAATATAAATGTCGAAAAAGCACATGAAAGCGCGCCACCTTCTTCTTGACGAGCGACATGACGCCAATGCGCGTGAGGACCGGCTGGCGACACAGGCCCTCCCTGGGGACGCCGTCGGCGAACGTCTCCGCACCGTCGGCCACCGGCTCGCACAAGTGACGCATGAAGAGCGACACGTACGCTCTGGAGGAGACACGGCCGAGTGTGACATGTAATCACTTCGATGTCTCTCGTTTTTTTTTCCTCATTGGACTTACTTGAATTCCTTCTCAGTCTTGCCTCTGAGGTCTCTGACCAGCCACTGAGAGGAGAAGGCGTCTTGAGACGGCATCCCCCAGCGCATCACCGCATTCAGGAACGCCTTCCGCTGGCGTGTATTGAAGCCAAGAACCTAGCCGCGGAAAAAAATTGCCACACATAACGCTGGCGCCTTCTCCTGCTGCTTTTGTTCACAAACATAGGAAGCATTCTGTTGATAAATATCATTTACTCATGTTGGAGCTGTTACTCCACTGCTTAGCTGAGATTTAAGTCATTCTCAACTAGGGATTGCTCCATTTCGTGTGTAGTTACAATGTTGCTGACTATTCTCCCCGCGGTCCACATTCACTTGTGCTCATACCTGTACCCGGTACTATATACAGGAAGTACATTCGGACATTTGGAAGCAAAGCAGGTGGACAGACCTCGAGGTTGCCGCCCACCCTGGCCAGAAGAGGAGGGAGCGGTTTGTCCTTCTCGTTCCTCAACTGGCGACGGGAATGTCTCCGGCCTGCAGGGAACCAAGGGGTTAAGAAACAAGACCAGAGCCAAGGCCCAGCAACAGCAACAAAAATACTCTTCGCAAAGGCACGGTTTCAATCTGGTATTGCATGCTCGCCTTTCAAAATGATTTTCACGCGATGATGAAAACACTGAGCTCCTTGGCGAGAGAAGGGAAGGAGAATGTGAGGTTTTTTTTTTTCCCTTTCACTCGGAGATGGCCGTCTCGAGCGCGCTTTGTGTGTTTTGGCTAAGGGCTTTGCGTGAGTGTGCCAGGCAACTTGATCTGCGAAATAAAAACCTGGTATATTGTAAAGTTATTTGCAGCGGATCGGGAGCGATCTCCACCGCGAATGGTGCAAGTAATTGACAGCGCCCCCCCAAAACGCTGATTGAATGAAATGAAAGATGGTTTTAATTATTTATTTTAATCTATGTGTGTCACATAAAATAGAAAACCCATTTAAAAGTTTTTTTTGTTTAAAACCCCGCCGATTCCATTGAGATAGCAGCAACTTCCACGACAGACAGGTACGTTCCACCACAAAATTTACAACGTAAAGGGAACAAATTGCGATCTAGAAGACACTGCTGTACTTCCATGACACCAGAACCACTTTCAAGGTTTTGATGCCATCTTGTGGAATATGAGAGAATTAAAAAAAAATAACAATCCACAAAAAAATGCAAATAGTTTTAACTGAATGAGGTTTTCAACAAATAGCTTCGGATAGTACCACAGGGGGGGGGGGGGATAGAGAAAAGGAGAGAGAGGGAGAGAGAGAGAGAGAGAGAGAGAGAGAGAGAGATACACACAAACACACACACACACATACACATTTATTTTACTGTATCTTAGCTAGCTGTGTTTTTTGGTGAGCAGCTTCACTTGAGTGAACATTTAATGTAGAATAGGTCATAGGTTAGCTTACTACATTTACTAAGTAGCTTGTCCAACAATGATAAATACAATGAAATGAAATGCTAATTTCCTTTAGCCCATCGACGTACCTTTGCATTATATGTTAGCATTAATCAGGTGGACTCTTGTGACTATACTGCATGATTTGTTTTTCTTTCAGAGCTTTTTGGTATGTTTTTTCAACATAAAGTCGACAATACATAAAAAATAAATAAATAAATAAAAAACTATTTACATTCTACTGCAAATGTCCTCGAATGGCCATATTTTATGCTCCAACAACATTTGGAGCAACTGGTGGGCATTGACGGTAGCGCCCTTGTGGTTTGGGTGCTATTTGGCTGACAGAACTTTTTGTGTTAGCCTTGGTCACGAACTGCCTCACTGTCGTGTGGTGTTCCCCAGGGTTCAATTCTGGGCCTCTGTTGTTCTCACTGAATCTGTTCGCTTTGGAATCTATCTTAGGGAGAAATGGTATTTCCTTTCACTGCTATGTGGATGACTGTATGTCTCGCTTAGCAAAAAAGACATACACACATCCACAGAAATATAGTGGCAGTCAAGGAAGAGGCGCAGAAATAGGACGTGAGCGATCAATTAATGAGGAAAGGGTGGATATTTGGAAAGGTGTGTGTGCGTGTGTCTGCGTGCATGCGTGTACGGGTGTGTGTTTGTGCGTGTGTTTGTATGTGGGTGTACTGTCTGCCAGCGGCTGCGTGTGTCTCAGGCTCCCTCCCTCCGCAAAATAATCGTCATTGGTGGGAAGTTCGCGTCACTGATATGGTCCTAATTTCAATATTTAATCTCTTGAACGTTCATATCTTGATTTTGATATCACGATATACAACCCAGGCCGAGTGTCTGTCATAGCTATTTTAGCATTAAGCTAGCGTACCTGAGTGAGATGAAATGATCTTGTATGGTAGAACAGTTTGGCGTTCAATTTTTCACTGCTCAAATTCTCTTTGGCTTATGTGTCCATTTTACTGTTAACTTCAACTTGGAGTGACATATACACAGCGAAGAGCAGGCATACTTTGGATATTATTTCGAGAACTGTGCAAGCTAGAAAGTGAGAGTTAAAGAATACATTTAAAGACTCTACTTTCAATTTAATAGATTGAAATATGTTTAAAGCATGGAGGAGGGGAAAAACTATTAAGTATTTTTTTTGCATTTTTGTTTTTTTAATGATGTCTCCGTGACCTATCACAGGTGGGACTGAAAGGTACCATAAGTGAATTTTTTAATTGTAGGTGAATTTATGACTTGCCTTCCGGACGGTCGTCAAAGTCCTCGTCCTCCTCCTCGGAGCCCACGGAGTACTCGGACTGGTTGTCGGAAATATCGGCATGCCACTCTGAAACAGCAAATGTGACGCGGAAGGCTCCAGGAGATGAAAAAAAATAAAAATCAGCCCCCAAAAAAATATGGACTTACCTTGATCTTCCTGCGCAGCGTCATTGTAGTTGACCGGCTTGCGATTCCTCTTGCCTTTGCCCAGTTTGCTGGCCAGGTCCTCCTGCTGCTGCTCGTAGTGGTGCCGCAACAGCTTCTCCCAGTAGTCGGGATCCACGTTCTCCTCCTGCTTGATGATCTCTCGCTCGATCTCATCGATCTGGAGCACCAAAAGTAAGGCCAAATACAGCATGTTGGGATTATCCATTCGTTTTTATTGGGTTTTGACTTTTTTTAGTTTTTTTAAACTCAAGTTGTAATCATTTTTTTAGAGCCGGTTTACTATTTTTCCTTTCGTTTGGAATATTTGAAAATGCTTTGATTTCATTCAGTTTTTAGTAGTTATCGTGTTAGCTTCAGATTTTTTGTTTTAATATGAGGTATTTGTCAGCCGAAAAAAGGTCACAATGAGTATTGTGAGGTAAATACTTATCAGACGACACCATAAAAAAATGTTATGCACCTGCACACACACACACACGCACAAAACAGATAAACCACCATGCACAAACACAAAAAAAAGGAAAAGTAAGCAAACCTAAAATAGGAAATAATTTGGTCACATTTTTGGGAAATTGTGCTGCTCCTTTCAGTGTGTGTGCCCTGTTCCTTAGCCACATGGTGGCGATATAATACAGACATGGCTACACAAGGAGACGCTCACAACTCCTCAGTCATTTTAGCTGTTCTTCGCAGATGATTAAGAACATATGCCGGCGAGTATCGTCATGTTATCTGTGCACATGTATTCTGCCATGGTTTGTGTTGAACTAAATGTTGTTGAAGGATGGCAGTGTGCTGTGAGATGTTTTGTTTATTTTTTTTTGCTGAATTATGTGACTTGGGTCAATAAATGTTCAGAAGCACAGTGCTTGGCAGTGCAAAGGAGGCTACAGAGGGAATATCTATGCTCCATTCACAAGCTTTTTGCTCCACTGGCTAAGGTGTCCAAGCTCCACGCTGAACTACAGATGTTTCCTCACAAGGAGCGGATTAAAGCAGCGGTCGTCAATATATTTATACAGCTCCGATGAGAAATGCGAGCGTGAGTTATCGCCCCGGTTATCTGCAGCGCTATTTTGCTTCTCTCGACTCATTATTTCACTGCTTTTTGGCGCAAACCAAGATGAATGTAGCAGAGCTGCCAAATCCCCCCCCCACCCCCCCTTTCCAGCAGCAGTCCAAAAAAGGTAAAGCTGGAAATGAAATAGAGGACAAACAAAAAAAAAAAAAAAACTAATCCTTGGAAAAAAAATTGTTCTTTCCTTCGCCTCTTACCTTGTCCTCCTCTCGGACCATGTACTGGGCCACTTTGAAGGAGCTGAGGTACTCGTTCATGTTCTGGACGTCCGAGTCGTCGGTGGCGTCCTGGCTTCGGTCGAGCAGCCTCTCGATGGCCGTGCTGTCGTAGTGGATCACGTTGCCCTCGTCCTCAGCTTTATCCCCCGAGGAATTCTTCATACCTGTCAGGGACCAGGAAAAGCGTCAAAGTTTGACACATAGGGACCATTTAATTCTTCGAATATTGAAACTTTTTTTTTTTTTCAACAAAAAAAAGATCAGTTTTTTTTCAATAATGGAACTTTGATTTTGGGGAAAAAAAATGCACCCTAATAATAGTAAAATGTTTTTGGGTTTTTTTTAGGCCCCCCCCCCCCTCAAAAAAAGAAAAAAAAAGCTCAGTTCTAATACTACCATTTTTTAAAAGACAAGTAATTTCAATCATATGGACATGGCTTTTTCTCCCCTAAAAAAACAAATCTTATTTCTAATATTACAACTTTTTTTGCACCTTGATTCTTAGAATATTGAGTCTTTTTCTAAAACGGAAAAAGAGCTTAATTCTAGTAAAACGCCAACTTTTTTTCTCAAATTAAAGCTTAATCTTATAATACTGCAATTTTTTTCTTCCCCCCTTATAAAAGAAACACACCCTGTTTCTTGTCGTATTGTAACTTAAAAACAGAATTCAAGTAACCTTGCAACCTTTTCCAAACTTTTTGTAATATTTTGAAATTTTCTCTTTAAAAAAATAAATAAATAAATAAATAAATAAAAAAGACATGAAGAGCAAACCTCCGACCTCCTGCCTAATCGATCCCCATCACACACCCAAGCTCTGTCCAGTCACCTTCTCCTTCATCTTTGAAGAGCTCCTCGGTTCCAAACTTGAGGATGTCGTCCAGTTCCTGCTTGGTCATGGAGCCGGCTTTGGAGCCCAGGCCGGGCCGGACCACCAGGTGGGTCAGCATCATCTTCCTCTTGGCCACCTGCGTGATGCGCTCCTCCACGCTGGCTCGCGTCACAAAGCGGTAGATCATCACCTTGTTGGCCTGCCCGATGCGGTGAGCCCGACTGAAGGCCTGGAGGACGGAGCAAAACGCTTCTGAGAAGACCCGAAGGGCGCCATCGAATCGCGGGCAGGGCGCGACTACCTGAATGTCATTGTGAGGGTTCCAGTCGGAATCGAAGATGACAACGGTGTCCGCTGTGGCCAAGTTGATGCCCAAACCTCCGGCCCGGGTGGAGAGCAGGAAACAAAACTGACACGCGCCGGGAGCTGCCCATAGAAAAGCACAGTTCCAAAGACCATTAGCACCAGACTGAAAAGAAAAAAAAGTATATTTTGTAGAGACAAGAACTTGGATTGTTTTTTTAATTTTTATTCTTAGAAAAAAATAGTCATCCAATAGGAATCTTTTTTTTTTTTTTTTAAATGACCAGAGAAAAGTGGCCCAGTAAATTCAGCTTGGACTATTACACCTTGTTTTCTTAAAAGAACACATCTTTTTTAATTCAAACATTTTTTGTCATAAAATTGATTCTTAGAAATGTAAAACTTTTTGCACAAAAAATGTTATTTCATTTTCATTGTTTTGTGGCTTCTTTTTGTGGGAAAAATGTAACTTGACAAACGTAATTCTCGGACAATGCGAATTTTATCCTCAAACAATGACATTCAGTCTCATAATGTGATTTTTCACAGCAAAAAATGTGAACTTCATTCAGCTAATAAGATTTTTGTCCCCAAAAAAATAAGCCTTAACTCTTTTTAATAAGACTTCAACAGGAATTCAAGTTAAAAAAAAATGCAGATGCTTATCCATTTTAAAAGACTTGAATATTGGCCGATTTTTTTCAATGAATGGCTTTGGCCCAAAAGTACAATGTTACAAAAATATGCTTTAATTTTTGTAATAAACTAAATTCTCTCATGAAAAAATCAGAAAAAAAATTACAAAATCCAAAATGAGATTTTTTTTTTCTTGAGAAGTGCGGCTTTTATTCGACAGAAAAACCTCATGGAATTCTCCTCACACAAAAATATGAACTCACCGTTGAAGCGGTCGATGGCTTCTTGCCGAAGCGCTCCGGTGATCCCGCCGTCGATCCTTTCATACTTATAACCTTCGTAATCCAGGAAGTCTTCCAGCAAGTCCAGCATTTTAGTCATCTGCAAAGAGGCGAGCGTCACCAAAACCGCCTCCAACACGAAACCGCGGACAACTCTTGACGGTTACCTGTGAGAAAACCAACACTCGGTGTCCCTGCTCCTTGAGTTTCCGCAGCATCTTCTGCAGCAGGGTCAGTTTCCCGGACGCCTTTGTGAGGGCGGAGCCCTCGTAAGCGCCGTTGGGTGTTTTCTGGGCCTCCTGGAACGAAAGGAGCATCCGGCGCTGAAGCTTTTTTTTTTTCACACAGGCAGCGGTGACACAACGGGAGGACTTTTCCCACCATGGAGGCGACGGGGAAGAGGTAGGGATGATTGCAACACTTCTTCAGGTCCATCATGATGTTGAGCAGCGAGACCTGGTTTCCCCCGCCTTTGGAGTTCAGAGCCTCAAAGTTCTTGGTTAAAATCAGCTTGTAGTATTTTCTGTGTTTTAACCCCCATTAAAAAAAAAAAAAAAAAAGAAATGGAGAATTAACTTTCAGACTTTAAGGTCGTTGTTTGATTTTACAAACCTTTCAGTTTGTTTGTCCAGTTTTACAATTTAATTCTCGTAATATAGGCAACTTATTTTTCATTGTAATGTAAATCTCAGGATATACTGACTTCTTAAAAAAAAAAATTTAAATCGCGATCATTTTCATAAGTGTTGAGACATTTTTTTCAGAAACAACAAAAGTCTCGTGATGACAAACAATTCTCGAAAGGATAAAAGTTAACGCATTATATGGTGACTTTCTTCTTGGAAAAACACACACACACACACACACACACACACACACACACACACACACACACACACACACACACACACAAAAAGGAAGTGAGTTGGATGAGATTTCTTAGAGTTTGGTACTTCTGCATGGGGCTGAGTTCCACCCGCACGATGAGCTCGGTCTTGGCGGGCATGTTCTTGAAGACGTCAGCCTTGAGGCGCCGCAACATGTGAGGCCCCAGCAGGTCGTGCAGTTTCTTGATCTGGTCCTCCTTGGAGATGTCGGCAAACTCCTCCAGAAAGCCGTCCAGGTTGCTGCGTTAGGACATACCACGCGTGCATTTGCAAAATCGGACTTCATTCACGTGGTATTGCTTATTTTTCCTCGACGGAATACAACTTGGAGTCACAGGGAAAACTAGTTTCTCGATAAATTCCGATGTAATTCTCATCATAATACAAAACAACGTTTTCTGTGGGGAAATACGACGATATTATGTGTTTTTCCCTAAAAAGTATGACTTTATTTTCACACCTATCTTTTTTTTCCTCAACAAAATAAGACAACCTCATATCAACACTTAAAAAAATTGCAACACAATTCTCTCTGAAAAAAAAAAAGAAATCTCATAATATCGCTACTTTTCACTTTACAGCATTAACACTTAATTCCAACAAAACAAGTTTTATTTTTGAAAAAAAAAATCGATATTATTAATAATTCATTTAACGCATTCTCAAAAAATACAAATTATAACTTAATTTTCATAATACACTGGGGCAACTTTTTGGCCGAAAATCTTTTTTCAGAAAAAAAAAAAAAAATTTTAAAGTAAGAAAATCTAAAAATACAACTTAATTTGAGAGTATTTCATTTCCTTCACAGAAAAAGCCAACTCAATTCTTGATTGAGACTTTTTAAAAAGAAATTCAGATTTGTACTCTTGTAATATTGAGATTTATTTTTCAAAATCATACGATTCATTCTCAAACAACAATATGTAGACGACATACAAGAAGAATGCGAGTCATTCTGTGTGTGTGCGTGTGTGTATGTGTGTGCGTCCTACTTGAAGCGGTTGGGCGTGAGGAAATTGAGCAGGTGGAAAAGCTCCTCCAGGTTGTTCTGTAGCGGCGTTCCCGTCAGCAGCAGCTTGTGGTCAATCTTGTAGTCGTTCAGACGCCGGAAAAACTGCAAAGCAATTGCACGTTTTCAGAAAGCGCGGCCACCAGAGGGCGTACAAACAGAGCTCAGGACCGCCATGACATGTCTCCAGGCGCTCTGTCCACCAAAAAGTGACGTCAACATTGTCCAATAAATCCTGAACAGTTTGTTTGAAAGAACAAATGGCGTATTTAATAGGAAGAAAGTCCCATTTTTGCGAGAACAAAGTGTTTTTTCTTTGCGGTTTTCACGTTGAACTTTGACTTCATTGTCATAATATAACGGTTTTATCTGGGTGGGAAAGAAAAATACGACTCTATTCGCATGACATGACAGAATTTCTCCCAAAAATGTGATATTGAAATCATGGTCGGAATTTTTGCTCTGAATGACACAAACGAAGGAATTCATTTTCATCATACTGAAGCTTTCTTTCTCAGAGAAAAAAGATGTCATATTCAGACTTCTATCTCAAAAGAATATTTTGACTTTTTGGCAAAGAAATACTTTTACTTTTGTATCATTGTGATCTCCAGAAAATAGAAGTTAATTTTCATAATACTGCGACTTTTGTTCTCAGGAAAAAAAGGCAACTTCAATGTCACAATATGACTATCTTAGAAAAAAAGAACTCAGTAGTCCGACTGTGACAACTTTTTTTGGCGTTTATATATATATTTTTTGGGTGAGGGTTGCAAATTCATCAATTCAGATTTTTTTTCATAAATTAAAAAAACAAAAAAAAAACAACATTTCCACCATCTTGGAAACAATGTACTATGCCGAGGTGAGTTGAGGAGCTTCATTTAGACAAAACTAGAGCTTTGCAGTCATCTTGTGGCATTCACTGGTAATCAAACCTTTTTGTTCTCGTAGATCGTTTTCAATTCACAACGGAGTTCGGCTGCGGTTTTTTTTTTCTCCTCGAAAATCCGAGGGATACATGGTGGTTACGTCGATTTGGCCTTGCCGTGCGCGTACCTTGGACTGATTATTTTTAAGGCGGTGAGCCTCGTCCACCACCAGGCAGGCCCAGTCGATGGACTTCAGCGCCGTCTGGTCGATGGTCACCAGCTCGTAAGAGGTCAGCAGCACGTGGAACTTGATCGGTGTCTCTCTCTGAGCCGGAGAAAAAAAAAAAAAAAAAATCATCGACATTTGCGCATGCTGTCGTCGCGCATCCGCGACACTGCGCCTCACCCTCATCTTGAAGGGCTTCTTGCCACCCTTCGCGAGCGAGTCATCGAAGGAGAACTCGTTTTCACGGATGATGGCTCGGCTGTCCTTGTCGCCCGTGTAGGTGACCACGTAGAAGTCGGGCGCCCACATCTCAAACTCCCGCTCCCAGTTGATGATGGTGGACAGCGGGGCGCTGACCAGGAAGGGACCTTTGGTGTGACCCTGAAACATACAAAGGGGGAAAATAATATATACTTCATAACTCTCATTTTTCTGAAACAAAAGATAACTTTGTCTTGTAAAATTGCAAATTTTTGCACTTGGGAAAATGTGGGTCTTTTCTAACCTTCCTCAATAAATATCACAACATTTTCACAAAAAGTAAATCTCATAGTACTGCGACTTTTTTTCTCAGAAAATGAAAATGTCATCCTCATATTATTTATTGAGTGTCTCCTTGGAAAAATTCTAATTTAATTCTCATCTCAACTCAATTCTATTCCGAAAGCATTTTGAAGCAACCACCTCTGTTTTCAAAATGCTCTACATGGAGCAAAAATAATGCATACAAACAATAAAACAGCAAATGAATAACGATGACGGTAAAAAGCACAAAAACGGTCAAACTAAAAATCAAGCCTGATGATTTTTTTTTTCCCCAAGGGCGGCGTGGCCATTGGGAATTTGGGGGAAATTTACATGTTTTAACAGCCGATATATTTCTAGGCTGGTCCTTCCCATCAGGGCCCTTACCAGGGATCAACAATCCCCCTCCCACACCCTCCTATAACCACCAGCACCAATCACACCCCCGGCCCCTCCCTCCACAACGACGATTATTCTTTGGGATGCGACGGCCGCGTTGACAACTAGCCCCGGGACGAATTTTGATCCCAGCGCGTCTCTGCTGATACGATACGATACAAAGTGTCCTGGACGCCGGGTACCTCCTTAAAGAGCGAGTAGAGGAAGACAATGGTCTGGATGGTCTTGCCCAGACCCATTTCGTCCGCCAGGATGGTGTCGGTGCCCTGAGCCCAGGAAAAGCGAAGCCAGTTGAGACCCTCCATCTGGTACAGGTGCAGCGTGCCTCCCGTCGACGTCACGAAGTCGGGCTGCTCCTCGTATTTTATCGTCGGCTATAAAAAGGACGATAAGATTTTAAAAGTGCGCACGGTGACGGGCAGCCCCTTCCCGTCCGATGAGACGGCGCGGAGAGCTCACGTCGGTGACGGGCGAAGCGGGAGAAGGCTGGTCTTCGCCCTCGCCCTCCTGACTCTTGCTCCTCATCCTCCGGGGTTTATCGGGGTCTTCCTTCGTGATGGCGTCCCTAGAAAAACGTTGGGTGAGCTGGAGCGCATCGGCGAAAGGAGTCGAAGGGCGTACCTGTGTCTCCAGTAGTTGGCCTTGTAGATGACAAAGTCGGGGATGTCCATGTGGTCTTGTTCCCAGGTGCACTGGTCATAGGTCAGGTCTCTCCACTTTACCAGGTAATGATACATCCCCTTTTTATCCACACTGGTGCAAGGCGCGACATAAAATATAGTATGCAGATGACTACTTGCAGACAATACTACGACACAGATACTATTTCACCGGCCCGGCACACACACATGGTTGACAACGCTGCAAATTATCCCCCTGCGAAATGGATGATGAACTCCGCTCGAAACATTTTGGAGCCAAAGTCCAGTTTGGATTTTGGAACAATGTCTGATTCAAATAAAATCGATTTTTATGGCATTTTCAATATAGAATGACATTGTCAAATAGCAGTTCTCGGGAATCAGCGAGTACTCAAATTTAAATATTTGTGCTCGGTTTTAAAAAAGGTCGAACCGATGCATCACTTAAGGAATGACACAAGAATGGAAGCAGTGAAACACAAATTTATGAAGAGAAGACAGAAAGGAGGGAAGGGGAGAGTGGGAAGAGCGGAGGAAATGAGGGAAGGATGGAAAAAAAAAAATCCTTGCACACTTCACCTGTGGTTGATTATGCGATGGATCATCATCCACTCGGGCTTGATGCCGTACTTGTAGTACTTGTCTTCCATGAGGGCGAATTCCGGGTCTTTGGCGCGCCGCTTCTCGCTTTTGCCCGCCGCGCTCTCGTCCTCGCCGCCGGAGCCGTAGTCCAAACCGGGCGGCTCGTCCATGTCCGTCTTCCTCTGGTAGTTTCGGTACATGACCGAGTGGAAGATCTCCAACTGGAAGGTCGGGAAATTTTGGATTCAAATCTTATCGTTGCATTTGGGTTGATTGGCTTTGGATTTGAAGCAAAAAAAATCATCATGGGTGACTTTTTGGTTTCACCTGCAGCTCGGTGATCCATGTGCAGTGCCAGTAGGACTGTCCCGCCAGCTTGACGAAGAACTCCCGCTCGGCTCGGCCCTTCATGGGCGGGGGCGGCGGCGGCAGGGGCGGCTCGTCGGGCGGCGCGCCCGGAGCGGGCGCCACGTCCGGCGGTGGGGCGGGAACCGGAGGAGGGGGCTCGCCCCACCGCCAGTGGAGGATCTTTTGCACGCGTCCTTTAATGGGCGGGCACTAAAGGCGAAACACCACGAGGGAATGAATGAAAAGTGTGGAGACAAAAAAGACAAGAAGGAATAACAGACAGGAGGCTGGCCGATTGAATACGATGAGCTATTTGTTTGAATTTCATGCTCCATGTTTTTTTGTTTTGTTTTGTTTTTCCAGCTCCTGCACTATCAAGGGCATCTTGCCGATGTGGACTTCGAGCCAACTGGTGGGTAATATTTTGACACTTGACTTTTCAAGCGGGAGGAGGATAGAAAGAAAGAACGAAAGCAAAAAAGGAAACCCTATTTCACTTATTTCTGTGGAAGAGGATGCAAAGTCATGCACAAAAAAAATAAATAAATAAAAAGTTGCTTGTGAGAAGTCACGAAAACTCCAAGGGGGGTAGAATCACTTGTTTTATCTGTAAGCAAAGGGGTAACAAATGGCTGCCAAGCGGAATTTTTGCGCCACCCTTTTCAATCCGGCTCTAAAAGCAAACAGCAAGCGCGCGACGTGGGCAGCATGCGTGGACGCCGGCGCGTGTCGGAGGAACTAACCGTGCATCGTGGACACAACCACTCTCCATTGGGGATCTCTGGCAGTGGCGGGTTTAGACAGTGGATGTGGTAGGACGAGGTGCAGGTGTCACAGCACAACAGTTCACCTCCGTCTTTACACACCCGACAGAACTCCATGTGGTCGTCGTCGTCCTCCTCCTCCAACCCCGCCCCGACCTCCGACATGGTCCTCTCCTCCGCGTCCTCTTCAAAGTCCTCAAAGTCTTCGTCTTTTGCTTCCCACTGGATTCCTTCTTTTTCCTTTTTTATTGGGGGGTGGACAGGAGGGAGGGTCAACGTCGAAGCCTCACGGGATTGAGAAAGCTCAAGACTAGCCCCCGACCAATCCAACGGACAATATTTGCCCGATTCCAAAATCATAATAATCGTCCGGAGTTTTTTTTTTTTTTTTTGAATCGACATACAGTATATATGTTGATGAACCGAATATGCATGCTCGGGCCGATTCGTTGCTTCTCAGCAACTTTTTCCGGGTCCTACTCCAAAGGTGTCGGACTCACGCAGTGAGGGCAGCTCCACTTGCCCTCGGGAGCCTTTTCCAGCTCGGGCTCCAGGCACACCAGGTGGTACGCTCGCGGGCACGTGTCACAGAGGATGATCTCGCCGCCCTGCTGGCACACCTCGCAGTAGTCCTGGTGGTCCGTCTCGTAGCCGTCGCCGTCCTCGTCACCTGGGACTGGAAAGGTGACGCAAATAAAAGGCGTTTCAACCGCGCCGCCGCAGGCCGCGCTTACTCTTCTTCTTCTTCTTGGCCGGTCGCCCGCGCTTGTTCTTCTTGACGCGGCCGGAGCTGTCGGAGCGAACCGAGGAGCTGTGGACGCTGGAGTCCTGGATTGAGAAAGCTCAAGACTAGCCCCCGACCAATCCAACGGACAATATTTGCCCGATTCCAAAATCATAATAATCGTCCGGAGTTTTTTTTTTTTTTTTTGAATCGACATACAGTATATATGTTGATGAACCGAATATGCATGCTCGGGCCGATTCGTTGCTTCTCAGCAACTTTTTCCGGGTCCTACTCCAAAGGTGTCGGACTCACGCAGTGAGGGCAGCTCCACTTGCCCTCGGGAGCCTTTTCCAGCTCGGGCTCCAGGCACACCAGGTGGTACGCTCGCGGGCACGTGTCACAGAGGATGATCTCGCCGCCCTGCTGGCACACCTCGCAGTAGTCCTGGTGGTCCGTCTCGTAGCCGTCGCCGTCCTCGTCACCTGGGACTGGAAAGGTGACGCAAATAAAAGGCGTTTCAACCGCGCCGCCGCAGGCCGCGCTTACTCTTCTTCTTCTTCTTGGCCGGTCGCCCGCGCTTGTTCTTCTTGACGCGGCCGGAGCTGTCGGAGCGAACCGAGGAGCTGTGGACGCTGGAGTCCTCCTGCTCTGACTCGTCTTCGTCCAGGTCGTCGCTCTGGCGGAGACACGCGCGAGGTTAAGCACACCCGCGAGCGTCACCTGCGCAGACGCCGCGCTGGTACTCACGGAGCAGCTCTTCTTCCTCTTGGCGCACACTGGGGAAAGTTTGAGACGAATGGGGGCCATCTTTTTCGCCTTGGCGACAGCCAAAGCCTTTTTCTTGTCAGAGACTCGAGGACTTTTACCGCGCTTCTTGTAACCTGGCCCTGCACAACCAAAACTTTTGAACCCCGTTTATTTTCTCTCGACGTCAACGGGGTGGGGTAGGGGGGGTGAAACAGGACCCAAGACTGACCTTTGCCTTCTTTCGTCTTCGCCTTCCGGATGGGTGGCGGTTGCGGCGCGGAAGGCAGAGGCGCGGGCGAGGTGGTCGCCGCGGAGACCTGCTCGGCGACAGCGATGGCAGCCGCGGCCGCAGCCGCCGCCACTGCGGCGGCGTTGCCTTTGAAGGGGTTGTTGAAACTGAACTCCCGCCACTTGGCACCCAGGATGGTCATCATCTTAGACATCGGAATCTTGGGATTCTTCTTGGCGATCATGGGCCTGGCGGAGGTGGAAATCGGAATTTGCCAAGTGGTGCGAGCTGCACTGAAAGGGAGGAATGAAGAGGGTCGCAGTTCCTCAAGAGTCATACCTCATATACTGACTGAAGGCCTTGTAGTTGGTAAGCTCCCTGTAGTCTTCCTCGGTGAAGGTATGATCAACATCCTCCAAACCCCACTCCTTTGCAAGCTGGGCTGAGGTCTTCTGCTCCACGGGCTGCTGAGAAGCAACCGGCAGCCACACAAGTATGACCATCGGAACCAGAATTACAAACCCAATCAATTCCCAAACATTAACTGAATGCCGTTAAAAGAAAAGGTGGCGTAACACAGTGGGGAATATGACCTTGTCCCAACTCTTTTGGAACGTGTCGCAGCCATAACATTTTTAAAACGGAATGATAATTGGCTAAAAAACAATAAAATGTATGAATTGAACATTAACTATCTTGTCTCTGTAGTCTAGTCAATTAAACATTTGCAAATGGATGCATTCCGTTTTTATTTCTGTTCAACAGAACGTCCCAACTTCAATGGAATTGGGTCTGGATTCCATATTGTAAGAGTTAGCATCTATTTTTCAGCTATCTGTCTTTTACTTTACCCTCGTGGTCTCCTCTTGGCTGCTGTCTCGCTCCTCATCGTCTTTTTTCTTCCTCTTGGTTTTCTTCTCCTTCTTCTCTTTGTGCTTCTTTCTCTTCTTCTTCTCGCCAGAGCCATAGCCGCTGGCGACGCTGTCCGAGTGGTCACCGAAGTCTCTGTCCCGCGCTGAGTCGCGCTCTACATCGCTGTCCTGAGCAGACGATAAAACGGTGAGGAGCGGCTCGTGAGATCAAGCACAGTCAGCACAGGCGCGGTCCGACGTACGATCTTCTTGCGCTTTTTCACCCTCACGGGTTTCCCCTCTTTGTCCTTCTTCTTGGCGTCCTTCTTCTTCTTTGGCCGTCCTTTCTTTCTACACGGGACCTCCCTGTCAGATGTGTACGCCTCTTCTTCTAGGGGGAAAGACACTCGTCAGAAAGGAACACACTATCCGGATCCACTCGAAATAACTTGCAACAAACACCCTTTCATGGCAACAGCTTCAACGGTCATCCATTTTCTATTGAGCTTGTCGCTGACTTTTGGGTCTGGCATACACCCCAGACTGGTTTCCAGCCTATTGCAGGACACGTATCGACAGACAGCCACACCTCTGGAGAATTTTGAGTCTCCAATGAACCTAATGCTGGCCTTCAAATCTAACGTTTTTCACAGTCTCAAATTAAAAATGGAAACTCCAAAGGGAATTTATTTTGAGAGACACAACATGCTCCCGGGATCTTGATCGTTTACCGGAAATTGGTATACGGTACTCAACTAATTCAGATCAATTTTAGGCTGTTTGATATGATATGTTTACAGCCTGTATGTTTGATATGATTGCAAGTCTTTCCGTCTTGGTGGTGACGTGACACAACCAACAACCAAAAGATGAGCTCTAATAAAACCGGATACTGGAAACTTGGCAAACAATCAAGACAGCAGCATGGATGAAACCGAAACAGTGGCGAAAACGCAACTGCTCCAAAGAACATGGACAGTCCAGAAAGAGGACCGGATAGTAAAGCTGTGGTCAGAACAGCCCAGACTGTTTATTTGTTGAAGCCAAAATTTATTCTGTTTCAATTTTGTAGGTTTCTACACAGACCATGATGTGAAAAAAATGTATTGTAGGGAAAAAAATTCTGAAAGAATCTATTGAAATTCTCATTAACAGCAACATTTCAAAAATTCATCAAATCTCAGTCTGTGACTAAGCTGTAACTAAAAACTCCATAGCTTGTCCTTGAATGTGAACCAGAACAAATTTCACACAAGCAGGAGGAAAACATCAGCTCCACTCAGGAGAGCTGTAGCAGAGATTCGAACCCTGAACCACAGACATGCTAACCACAAGTTCACCGTGCTACCTGGAAACATACAGTTGAACAGTTAGTTGTGACTCGGTGCCATTATTATTTCACCCATTTACTCGGGATGTTGATTTTTGGGTGACGCTTGATCCGAAAAGTATTCCTCAAGGGGGCAAAATGATAACCTGGAACAAAGCACTTGGATCTTCTGCAAGCTAACTCTGGCTAACGTAGTGAAGCTAAATTTTTTAAAAAATGAATAAATACAGAAACTCGAGTCTGATAACTAGCGTTGATTGTGTCTACCTCCAACTCTTTCAGCTCCCCGGATAACCAAGTGAGAACGGCGCGTCGAGGAACGGCCGCTGGGCTCACTCGAGCTCGGGGATTGGTAGGCCCCGCCGGTGGAGCAGCGCGACGCATCGGGGGGTCTCGAACTCGGGCTGTGGAGGTCGCGAGGGGGTTAAGGATCTCGCCGTGGGGAGCTCATTTATCAGCCTGGCACGGCGGCGGGTTCGAGTTTGGCCCAGGCGAATGAATCTTTGTTGTTATAAACATTAGAAAGGCGCGACTTTGCACACATTTCCTTTTGACCGCCGGAAACTTCTCGAACTCATCAGAATTAGACTATCGTGGGAAAAAAAGTGTGAAATAAACATGTTGGGAAGTCACCCGTGAAGCAGCGGCAACTCCATCATGGGAGACGTTCGTGTGTGGATTTCACCCGAATGCGTTTGAACGCATCACGAAATATGTCCTGGAATGCTGTCATTCCTGTGACACGCGTGTCACGGAGTAGGGTGGGGGGGTGAGGAAGATGACACTTTGGCCGTGGACACAAAACTTCCCGAGCAGCCCGAGCTGTTTTAGTGCGCATCACAGTGCTTAAAACGTATTTCCTCCGCCCGATCTGGAGACGTGCGCGATTTGCAATGCAGCTGCCACGACCAGGAGTCCAAACGTCGTTTTCAAAGTGTTGTTTTCATCGGGGACGCCTTCACATACCTGGGGCGGCTGCAGTTTGCCGAGGCGCCGCCGGCGAGTTGATGTCGCTTCTCGCGTCTAAAAACTCTCCGCCGTCGCCGTCGTCTTCTTCCTCAAAATCTCCTCCCTCGGAATGAAGCACCGTGCCCTCGTCTTCCTCACAGGCCCGCGGAGGATAGGACATGATAGTCCTCTCATCGGGATCCCGTCCTTGTGTGCAAAACAAACAGAAAAAACAAAAAGAAATTGTATCGTGCTGTTTATTTAATATTCAAATCGGGGGGGAAAGTGAGGGGGGGCATTTTACACTAGGCAGAGAGCAACAAAGATGGCCGCCCTCTTATATTTATTTTTTAACAACCCCCCTACACACACCCCCCAATAAGAAAAAAAAATCCCCTAACATAAAAAATGGCTGACTATATTATTTCACCCCCCCCCCTTCACCCTGTGCGCCCCCTCCCTCTTCAAAAAGCTCTACAGTCTACATTGTTCCAAGAAAAGGGGGCTGTGCATGCGACTTACATTGTTATTACTTGTTTGTGCCCCCCCACCTCAGCCCTTTCGTACGGAGGCTGTCTGTGCACCCCCTCTTATCCTCAGACTTGTGGTGTCACTTTCTGCATTGCAGAGCAAATCTATCAAGCATGGCCCCCACCATTGGATTAAAAAAAAAAAAAGATTTTTGTGTGTATGTGTGCGTGCGCGTGCGCGCGCTGGGATCAAGAGAGAAAGAAAAAAAGTGGGGGGGGCTGGCAGAGAAAAAAAATCTGCCGCAGCCATGCCCAGACTTACATCAGATTGTATTGCTTAAAAAATTAACTGCTTGTGGTGAGGATTGTAGTCTGTTCGAGGATGAAATGGCAATTGATTAAACGCTAACAATTACTTGGGAAGATAGCAGCCCGATGTGGGGAACTGGGTAAAAAAAAAAATAAAAAAAAGAAACAAAGAAAAGAGAATGAGAAAAAAAATCAGGTGGCCTTCGGTCTTTCTGTCACTGAATGTATTCAGGTGGTCTTTGTAATGAGAGGGGATAAAAAAGCTAACATGCTGGTATGCTGAAACAACCAACATTTTTTAAATTAAATTAGATCAACAAGGAAGGAAAGGAGAGATGAAGGAAGGAAGGAAAGAGTGGAGGATGTTTCAAAAAGAGACACGGAAGAAAGGATGGATGGAAGGAGTAAGAGGCTGATGGTGTAATGAAGTGATGAAGGGTGAAAGGATGGAATGAGAAAGGAGAGATGGGGTTGAAGGATGCATGGATTAAGGGAGTGCCCAGTGACTGACTGGCAACAGTTCAGGGTGTAGTCCAGTTTTCGCCCAAAGTCAGCTGGAATAGACACCACCATGAGTGGAAGAGGCAAGGATGAATGATAGAGTGGAATAGTGAAAGACAGTATGAAAGGAAGGAGGTAAAAAGGATGACATGATAGAAGCAAGGAAAGAAAGATGCAATATAGGATGATGAAAGGAAGCAAGGAGGATGGAAGGAGAATGGCAAAGAAGGAATGACGTATGGAAGGAGGAATGAAAGGAGGGACAATCAAAGGAATAATGGAGGATGGATGGAAGAACAGAAATAATAGTCACGTAAAGAAGATATTAATCGAAGGAAGAAGGAAACAGGGAGGTCAACAGAAGGGTACTTGGAAAAAGAAGGGAGGGATGAAGGCAGGTAAGAAGGAACAGAGGGACGAAGAACAAAACAAGAGAGGAAGGACGCAATGTATCAAAAGATAGAAAGTAAAAAGGAAGGGAGGATGAAAAGGTAAACTAGGATGGAATGATAGGAAGCAAGGGGAAAAAGGATAGAAGGATGCAAGAAGGACGAATGGAAGGATTTAAGGATGCATGAAAAGGAGGAAGGAGTAGAGGCTGCAAGGAAGTGAGGAATGATAGAGGGAATAACAGAAGGGAAGAAGAGAAGCAAGAAAGGAAAGAAGGAAAGAATAGAAAGGAGGAAACAAGGATTATAGGAAAGGAATGAAAGGGAGGAAGGGGGCTCACAACTAGACCACCATGACATGAATTGACGATTTGTAACTGTAGTAAATTCGAGTAGTTAAATTAAGAATAAAATAATGAAGTGGTAAATTCTCATCATGGTGAATAACGTTAAAGACTGTTCAGCTGTTAGAAACGTAACAAAACGTGCTTCGGAAAGGCAAATTAATTCAACAGCCACTTCGTAGTACTTATTATGACCACAGAGAGTCACTGTTGATCAAGTGTTGCGTAGAAAATGTCTGTGACAAATACTTCCGGCGGCAAACCACAGAAGAAGAATGCACAAATGGCAACAATCGAGGAAAACGGACCGTCTACTCATGTATGCTTGTTTTGCCTCTTTACGCGCTTATGGTCATTCTTTTTAAGTTTATAGTTTGGCGTTTAAACCCGAATACGCGTGTCTGCTTCCCGAAAAGCGACACTCGAGCGCTGAGCAATTCTGTCGCTTACGAATTTGCGGTCAGGTTAATGTCAATGCAGACAAATGAATCTTTTAGCATTACGGTTTACATCTCGTCATTGACATCTTCAAGGGCCAAAAAAAAAAAAAAAAAAACTCTTAGCGTGCTGCCATAATGACCGTTAAAAACAGTTGTAAATATTTAGATACAAACGTATGTTCAAGTGAAATAAAACGTAATTGTACTGTACCTCTGGAACAACGTGACGTGTCATCATCCCAGGCTAGGGAGAAACTCCAGCGTCTCTTGAACAAGAACATGAGGATCCGCATGACTGACGGCCGGACCTTGGTGGGCCTTTTCCTCTGCACGGACCGGGACTGTAACATAATCCTCGGGTCGGCCCAGGAGTTCCTCAAATCCAAAGGTGACCACGGTGGCACGCTTGAAGCAAGGTTGCCTGGCAGTTTACTGATTTTTTTTTCCCCTTTCTTCTCCTTCTCTTAAGACACTTTCTCCCAAGGGGAACCCCGAGTTCTGGGCCTGGCCATGATCCCGGGTCACCATGTTGTGTCCATTGAGGCCGAGGCTGACATTCTGGATGACACGCAAGCTTTCGGCGTGAACCACTAGGAAATGAAAGCACTATGAAGAACGGACTTGTGCTTTTGTTTTGGAATTCAATATAATACATTGTTATGTCTTTTCAGTGGAGTCTCAAAGTTCAGAAGAAAACACAGGAATTGAGAACATGGAGCTTTATTGTTTTTGCAGTCAAAAACTCCAGTTATCCCTATAGAAGGAAGAGTTGGGGAAAAAAAAAAATTATACTGCCCTACGATTGGTTGGCAACCAGTCGAGGGTGTTTCCACCTGGGATCGGCTCCAACTTGCTTTTTACGTACAACGCAGTCATCAGTAACATTTTTGTTTTAGGGATCAGTTTCATACAGTTGAGCCCCTGCATGAGATTGGCAACAGAAAATGCAAAAACACAAACAAAACAATCTCAATAAATAACTTATGCTCTCTTTCATAAATTACAGTGTAAATAGTGTGTTCTTTAAGAAATAAGTACAGCGCTACCGTAACTTCGAAGTTTTCCGAGTAAATCGGCCTAACATCCCGCCTCTCACTGTACTTTGAAGCGTCAGTCATATTCCTAAGACACTTTCAGCTTGGCATGAGTTGCAATCACACAGCCTTTGATCAGAAAAGAGTGCTTATGAAAATAAAAGTGCACATTTTGAAATGAGGAAAAAGAGAATACTTGTCACTCAGCATTCGGTTCTCCGTTTGATGACGTCAGTCTTTTGAACAAATTGGTTTAAAAAAAAAAAAAAAAAACAAGAAAAAAAACTCCGAGAGGCAAAACAAAGTGAACTTTGCAGTTTTTAAGTCTGTCAGCCATTTTTGTTTGAACCAAAAAGTCCTCACCGTGACGGCGCACGGTGTCGTCTTTTACTGGAACTTGAAGTGGAAGCTGCCTCCTGACTCGAAGGGGTTGAAGGGAAAAGGCCAGGCGTGGCCGTTGTGTCCGCCGCCCTGCTGCTGTTGGTTCTCCGGATCCAATGGATCCTCGCCTGCGTCAAACTTCTGCCTCATTTCTGAAAACATGAAGAAAAAAAAAAAATCACTTTTGAGTTGCTGATCCAAACTGTCAAGTCTGGACCGGCTGCTTATCCAAACCTCTGGTTCTGCCAGTGTTAATCAAGTCAACTTTGATGAGCTCAAATGAAGTTCTCTTACTCACATGATCCAATTTAATTTACCTTGACGTAATTCCACTCAACTCAATTTAACCCAACTGAATTTAGCTCACCTACACTAATTCAAATGTGTTGTTACGCCGGGTATGCCAATATTAGCATACGAGCCTAAACAACCTGAAAATCAAACTTATGTGACATCGTATGGTGGGGAGGGGGCGTGCACTAGCTCATATTGACAAAACGAGTTTGTGATACAGTGTGATTTTTTATTTTTGTAAGAGGTTTCCTGACCTGGGTCGGTGAGGACCTCCTTGGCCGACGCAATGTCGATGAACTTCTTCTCCGCCTCCTTCTTCTCGTTCTCCGACTGGAAGTTGTCAGGGTGCCACTGCTGTGCCAGCTTCCTGTACGCCTTGATGATCTCCTGCTTGTTGGCCGCCCTGAAAAGAGCACTCCACAAGTCAACCAGTGACCGAAGGGCAAAGAGCAACACAACATTATAAAGGCAGCTATAAATCTGATATCGTTGACTGTAATACAGATTAAATTATTCCATGTGCTTGTAAAAAAAAAAAAAAAAAAAAAAAGGCAATTAAATCAAACAGAAAAAAAATAAATAAATAGAAATTAGGACACACACACCCCCGCCCCCATTCCACCCCCTAAATCGTTCTGCCTGAATGCAAATACGAATGGTTATTTGTGTGTGCTGACATAGTACCGGCTCACTCCAAGGATCTTGTAGTAGTCTCTCTTGCGGGAGAGCTTGAGCAGCTTCCGGGCTCGCTCCAGCCCTTCTCGGATGTCGTTGCTGTCGCCGTCAAACTCCTGCGCCTCCTGGTAGTCCTCCACGGCTGCGGTGGTGGGAAAGAGGGGGAAAAAAAATCCAAGTCAAAGTCAGCGCCGACATGTGGGGGCAGCTAGCTCGCGACTCAGCGGTGGGGGCCTACCTTTCTCGTAGTCCTGGTTGAGGATGAAGGCCTCGGCGCGGTCGCGCAGGATTTTGGCGTTGCGCGGGTCTCTCTGGTGCGCCTCGGAGCACACGTCGATGGCGTCCGTGGCTGACTTGAGCTGGAAAATGACCAGGTCTCTGACTTAGCCCTACCGCCTTATTTAACTTCACTCAATTTCATTCCATTTACTGTAACGATGATTGATGTAACGCAATAGAATTCAACTCAACTCTTAACAGAACCAACTCGACTTCACTAAATTTTATCTGAACTACCCTTGATTTAACCAAACGCAATTTAACTCCACCAAACATAATCCAACTCAAATGAACTTCCTTTAACAAAGTCAATTACATTTTGATTAGCTCAAATGAGCTTATTTTAAATCAACTTTCCCAACTCAATTTAACTTGACTCCAGTCAACGGAATTTAGTTAAGCTGTAGAAAACCCATCATTTTTTTAAAACTAATTCATCAATTGATTTAACAAACTAACGAAAGCACAACAAATACATAAATAAAACAACCTAGGTTACAGTGAGGCAAATAAGTATTTGACCATCCTGCCATTTTGCTCAGTGACAGCCCCAAAACATGACAGATCTCGAGAAGATCTGTGTGGCGGATTGCGCCACAGTCCCTGTGGCGCTGTGTGCAAACCTGGTCAAGAACCACAGGAAAGGTTTGACCAGACCAAATATTGACATTGATTTGTCACTCACAGTGGACTCCTCCATAATTTCAATGCGGGACCACTCGCAAAATTATCAAATAACCTCACTGTAGAGCAAGACAGCGTCTCACCTTGACGAGACAGAAGCAGATCCGCTCCTTGGCTAGGTTGGTGTAGTGTGGCACATGTGGCTCCGCCTTCATCACACCCTCATACTTCTCAATGGCGTCCTGGCACCTAAAGGTGAGCGCAAGGTCTGAATGAAGCAAAGCCTCGGGGGTGAGAAGCGCCTTGGTACCCCACCTTTCCCCCTGGATGAGCTCCTCAGCCGAGTCCAACTGCTTGCTGAGCTTCTTCACTTGCTTGTAATGGCCCAGGCAATCCTTGTCGTCCTGGTCCAGCTTCAGACACTCTCGGACTTGGCTGCGCACAAGGTAAGAAGAACATGTGTGGGCTGGATAGTAGATGAGAGATCAATGTGAGGGTGTGGGGGACAGACTCACTTAAGAGACTCATGGTGCTCCCCCAGGCTGTAATGCAGCAGGCTGAGCTTGAGGAATGCGGCGCGGTTGTCGTTGCGCAACCGGGTGGTGGGCGCCAGGTCCTGGATGGCCTTCTGCGGGTCCCCGGTGCGGAGGTAGCAGTCGGCGCGGAGCTCCCGCATCTCGGGATCCCAAGGCGAGATCTAGCGTGGAGATTGAGAATTATCCTAACGAATAAACGGTCAAGCCTAAGATAAGTAAGCATATTCAGAATGGGTGAGTGGGGGTGAGCCCAACCTAATTCGGAACCCTGTTTTCACCGTACCTCAATGACTCGCTCCAGCGCCAAGATGGCGCCGCCGTAGTTGCCCTGGTGGTATGCGGCCCGGGCGTCCTCTTGCAGCTCCTCCAGGTCTTCGGCTTTCGCCAGTTGCTCCAATGCGTCCGCGTGATCCGGAGATGGCCGGAGCTGTCGAGCGAGAAAAACAAGAGAGGTACAAAAACTGCCTCTATTGAAGCCAGGACAAAAACCTGGTCCGGTGCTCACCACAGCTTCAAAGTCGTCGTGGGCCTCCTGCGCATTGCCTTGTTTCAGAAGGATGTTCCCCCTCTGCATCCGGGCCTGGGAATGCACAAAAAGACATTCAGGAAAGAAGTCATGCGACATGAGGCGAGGCGGACTTCATTATTATTTCTTACGGCGAGGAAGTCGGGCTTGAGCTGGATGGCCCTGGTCAGGTCGGGGAGGGCAGATCGCGACCTGCCCATGGCCAAGAACACGGCGGCGCGTTTGTAGTACGTCAGGTAGTTTTTCGAATCCACATCTGGACACACAAAGATATGCCAACTTCAAGTCTCACGTTTGGCATTTTATCAATTATTATTATCCATTTCACATCAGTTGAAATGCAATAAATTCACCTCAAATTCAACATTTCTAAGTGTATTTAAACCATTCTAAATGTTCACATTCCAATTTTTTTTCGAAGACTCTTGCTTTGGACTTCAATGAGTGATTATGTTGAGCTTACCCACAGCAGAGTGGTAATGGGACAAGGCTTCAGCCAGCTGACCGGCTGCCAAAAGTTTGCGGCCCATTTCCAAGTGATACTCAATCTCGCCTCGAGTTGCCCCCAAGACGCCTAGAACACAACATGGTCGTCTTTGAAAAGAAAAAAAACAAACACAAAAAAACAATCCAACAAGTTACCAGGGCGACCTGCACCGCCTTACCGTCCAGCTGTAGGTCCATGATGACAGAGAGCAGGGACAAGGAACACAGGACCCCGCTGAGTCCAGTTAGGCGTCCCCAATCCATACTGGCGATGGTTTAGTAACACACGAAACTCAAAGTCGAACTCTTTAAGACGCCATTCTGCAGTTGAAGCTTCTTCTCCTCGTAGGAGACAACAAGCCGAGAACAGTACATTTACGCTCCGTCTGTGCTTAAGTTCCGTATGGAAAACACCACTCGGGTTCCAAAGGTTCCCCCAAGAATCATAGCGCTTTTAACGCAAAGTTACGCATAAAACAATTAAAAAAATAAAAATGAAAAATAAATCCAACTTATAAGTGTTTTTCAGTAGACCAAAGAACGGCTATAACTCATAAATCCACGGGAAAATAATTCATATAGCTTTTCATGTGATATTTGGCGACCCCGCCCTCCACGCCGACCCCTCAACATAATTGGTCCATGCGCCAGCACATCCGCATCCGGTTCGGGACGCGGCCTTTTCTCATTGGACGTTGCGGTCACGCTTTAAAAAAAAATAACAAAAGGCATTTTCTATTCCAGAAAGTAAAAGTTAACAGAGAAATGTCAAATGCGATTGTTGTCCATCAAAACGTTCAACTCGACAAAAATTCCTTGCTTCTGTTCATTTATTGGTGATATATTTGGATTTGCTTTTGGATGACCGAAATGATAAAATGACTCAAAACCCAAACCACAGTGTTCAACATGGAAAGAACGTTTATTGTGCATAATTGTAACAAATAAAAAAAATGTACAAAAAAATCGAAAATCAAATCAACAGATATCCATTGCATAGTAAGTACATGTGAATATTTGACATAAATAACCTCACAGAAAATGGAGTACAAAATGTCACAAAACAATGCTTCGTCGTCGTATTTGACTAGAAAACATAATCATGAGTATAAAAACATAGATTCCATTCAAACGTACGCATTCCGCCCATATGTGCTGGCAGCCACACTTCTGGTCCGGGCCGGTCCAGAATAAACGGTACCTCTGCTTTGATGAGGCAAAGGACTACAGAATGAAGAAACAAAAAGGTTAAGATGAAATCAAATGACTTTCTGGTACAGAAGAGGGAGGGCATCACTTACTACTTTTCCTGCGAGCCCATCCTGCAGGAGCACATAAGGCACGCCCCCCCGGCGATGGCGAGCATGGCCGAGCACCACCCGATGTAAAGCCCCTCACCGATTTCGTACCTGCGATGGCAGAAACACAAAGTCAGGGCGCCTGTCCCCCCCCCCCCCCCCCCCAAACGTGCTGGGTCATCCGTACTTGGTACCGGGAAAGAATGGGTCAAAGAATTCCTGGGTGATGTTGAAGGCGTACCAGGACACTGCCACCATTGTGCACAAACCTATTAAAAATAAGTAACAATGTATCAAAAACCCTTTGAGAAGACATTCAATATACATGACTATTGAGGACACTGATGATGGAAAAAGACTCGGAATTTGTACACAAATTGCATCCGCTATTTTTTTCATATTTTGATGAGGCGCTTCAACAATTTTCAAAGTCAAAATGTTCCGCTCAATCAGGACATTAGGCTTTTTTTTTTTTTTTTTTTAAAACCTTCTCAGAATTCTTACTGGTACCATCATTAAGAACAATAATTGAAATTCATCAAGAAAAGTTATAATTGTACCTCAAATTTCACATTTCTCAACTGCTTCAAACCGTTCTTATGTCAAAATATTCCAGAGAATTTAAGTTTATGGCAAAATTGAAGAAATTCACCTCAAACTCAACGATTTGATTCAAACGTATTTCACATAAAAAAAGAAAAAAAAATTAATATGTACCGTCTCTAATGTCGATATTTTTTTTTTCTCCAATTCTACTTCTAGACTACAGCAGTTCAGCATCAGCTTTTCAGTATTTCAGGCAATTTCTACACAACAATGTCCCCATTGTGCAAAAAACTCATTTTGTCAAATTAATCATTAAGGAGACAACGGCTGCCAAACAAGTCCAAAGTTTGACAGGAAGAATTGATTTTTATAAGTTGTAAAGCGCGTCTTTTATTGTCCTTTAGGTGCTTTATAGCAGCCGTGCCTAACGATGGCGTTTTTTTTTTTCCCCTTTCCACGCCGCTCACCTTGAAGCAGCGATTCCCAGTCACGGATCATTGGGGCAAATGATTCAATTTCACTGAATTGGCGCAAAAATAAAGAAATGAGACGTTTATAATAGCCTATGGATGCCAGCGAAACATTACTTTCGGCTAAATGAAGCTCATCAACTCACTTTAACTGGGTTCGTTGATGGCGCCAGGAGTTAATGACGATGGAAACTTTCCAACTTGTAAATTTCTGGAGTTTTGAAAACCGATTCATATCTTCGGCCCCAAAATCCAGACGTGAAACCACAAGTCATGAATATAGGTACAGTACCAGTACAAGTATTTACTCTTGAGTACTGATAGCGCGAGTACTTTTAAAACCCAACATTTAATTTAACACAAGGACAGATAATTGTGAACTGACACATGACTCACTAAAGCGTCAAATTATCGCAGTGTTGCGACAACTACTGGCAAGGAGGACTCAATGTCGGATTCTTTTGCCCCAAGTATCGATGGCTGGGATGGGCGGCCTTCGCGAATACTCGATAGATCAAAATCGGTACACGCTCATTCCCAGCCAAAAGATTTTTGCAATGTCAAATATGCACAGAGGCTCCAGCAATTCACTAAGTTGGTGGGCTCCCCCTAGTGGCCAAAAAGAAGTCTGGAGTAAGTTTGTGAATACATCTCCCTCCCATGGCATCCTTACAACCAAACGCACGTGAGCACAAACCCGCACTCTCCGCTCCGGTGCTATGCCTGGGGGGAGTGGGGAGCAAAGATTGGTGGGGTCTTGACAATGAATGTTTGCAATAAATTGAAAAGAGAGATTTTCAAAATCAAACCTCAGTCTCAGTGTATTTTATTTTGAGGTAGTACTTGGTATAAGTATTGAGAGGCACGGCCCCACCTTGAAGCACGAAAAGCACGCCGGCGGCACCCGCGATGCGACCCTTGAGCACGTAGTTGTCGCCGGCCGCCTTGGAGCACTGCACGCCCACTAGCGCCGCCACCAGGCCGAAGGCGCCCATCACCACCGATGTGATCATGAGGGCACGGGACGCCTGGATGTAACCTGGGAGGGGGACGGCGACATCACAAGGTTACCCGATCTTTGCAAAAGAAAAACATTCATTCATTCATTCGCCAGGTCTGACTTACCATTCAAAGCGAGCAGTGACGGGAATTCCCGGCAGTTGTGGACGCCGGTGGAGTCGGTGGCGCAGGACATCCAGAGGTTCTCGTAGATGGTGGACGTGGTGATGACGTTGCCGTCCACCGTGGACGTCTTCCAGTAGCGATTGGGTAGCGCCACCCCGACCATCACCCAGCCCAGGAAGCCCAGAAACAACGCCACCACTTCCACAATCGGATCCATGATTCAACCCCTCCCACCCCGCCCACCCTCAAGCTCCAAAAGCGACGAGCAGCGAGCGACGTCCGGATGTCGGCGAGGCCAATCCAAGCATCGGCTGCGATGGCTTGGAGGAGAAGTATGAACGCTCGCCAAAGACATGCATTTATATCACCTGCTCTCTCCGCCCACTTCCACACACGCACGCACGCAAATCCGCTACCACTTAACACCCTGAAACGTAGCAGGTGTTTATCAGCTCACGCCGAGTCCAATGGTCACACGAGCAAGAGCATAAACTATGCCCCCCTTTTTTGGAGGGGGGTGGGGTCAGATGGGAAAATAAAAAAAATAAATAAATAAAAAAATAAAAAATATGAGCAACAAAAACAGATTTAAAAAAACAACAACAAATCATCCACTCTTATTGAATCTAAATCTAAAAAGTAAAATTGTGAAAAGAAAAATCTATCCATTATCATGTCAATGATTTATTATTTATTATCATGTCTGTTTTGTACCTTATGGCAAACGAAATTTTCCACTGGTTTAAATATAAAATGATGCGATTGTTTTTAAACGAAAAATTAGATTCTTTCATTTAAAATAATGCTAATTCTAATATATATATATAGATATATATATATATCTATATATATATATTCCTATATATACATATATATTTAAAAATTATAGAGCTATAATTTTTTTTCCCCAAACAAAGGTAGTCGACGCTGCTTCGCAAACAGCTCTGGGCATAAATATTCACGATGGGGCAGGACGCACTTGCAAGTGATTTTGGGATGATGAACGCATGACACTTGAAGGACACGAATCAAGAGATCCGCTGTCACTGTGTTAGTTTAGATCAAGTCAGGCGCTCTTCAAAATAATTTTTAGGCGACCATGTGGGGATCTGCTTTTGTTTTTGTCGCAAAGGGTGTCACCTTGGTGAACTATTGGTGCCCTCCCTCACGCTATCAGCCAGCTCATTAATCGTGACATACAAACACAGGAGGCATGTTGGGCAAGCCGAGACCTTTGTGATGGCATTCTTTCCCACTCCTCAATTTCAGCAAAAGTGCAGGGGAGAGGAAACTCACACCAAAGCCCACAATGTGACACAGAGCTGTAAAATATCTAAAATGACTTCAATGAAATTTTTACACACACACACACACACACACACACACACACACACACACACACACACACACACACACAATTCAATGTGGCACTTGAATGGAAATAGTAACACAAATCTCAAATCCAAACAAATCCCTCCATGCATTATCTGAGCCGCTTTATCCTCATGAGGGTCAAGGGCGTGCTGGAGCCCATCCCAGCCGTCTTCGGGCAGTAGGGGGTGCACACCCCGAACTGGTCGCCAGCCAATCGCAGGGCACACAGAGACCAACAACCAATCACACCAAGGGACAATTTCGAGTGTTCCATTAATGTGCCGTCCATGTTTTTGGAATGTGGGAGGAAACTGGAGTACCCGGAGAAAAGCCACGGTGAGAACATGCAAACTCCACACAGGAAGGCCGGAGCCGGAATAGAACACTGCACCTCTCGTACTGCGAGGCGAACATGCTAACCAGTCTCCAACCGTGCCACCTGGAAAGAAGCCATGCAAACTAATTTTTGTTTTTAAATTACCTGATAAATAATCCACATTAAATACTGCTGTGATTTTTTTTTCCCCAGTTAAGTTTATCATGGTAACCCTCACAAGTGTGATTTAATGGACACACACAAAATAGTTTTATGACGGCAAATTATTCGTTAGTCCCTTGGGAGTTTCGGTGCGAGTTAATGAGTAACACACCACGAGGCTGATAACCACACACACAGACACACGCACGCACGCACGCACGCACGCACGCACACACACACACACGCACACACACACACACACACACACACACACACACACACACAAAATGGCGCTGTAAAACGACGTTGACAAATTTGATTTCATCTTTGAGTCAAGACGATTACAAGGTCAGCCAACTAGGCCAAGTTGTATTTTTCTTTCTGACATGTTTTTTCCTGTTGCTGTCAACGGCGGCACGTTACGATCACGATGTACTCTGCGGGAACGACGTGCAACGCTACCGATAAGGACGGAATTGTTTGATGAGAACAGGTGACTCAAGTCAACACTTTCCTTCTTTTTTTTTTTTTTTTCTCTTTTATTGACGATCCGGGGAAAACAAGCTTGTTAAAGTCGGGACATTTGACAGAACATTCCCTTTTCAGTGGATTAGCATTAAAATAAATTGGATGATAAATAAAAGGCGTGGCTTGATGCTTGTTTTGTTATGTACACAGGCGGAAGCTGGCGATCAATGGTCAATGTAAATGCAAATGAGAATACATCAATCAATGGCAGTCCAGCAAAAAAAAAAAAAAAAAAAAAAAAAAGAGAAAGGAAAAAGTTTGGGGTTAAAACTTGGGCCCTCGCTTGGCCACAGCCAGGCCGATGAGCCCGGCTAAACCGGCCACGCCAAGACCGATTCCCCCTACGATCGCCATGCCGACCAAGCCATCTAGGAAACAGGATGGGGTCAACGAGCGGCTGTGCAAAGGCACTCACAAAAGGCACACACTCACTGGCTCATATTTGCACCAACTCTAAATCTCACGTGCCCAAAAAATAAATAAATACAAAATTCCCATATTCTCGCTTGCGCATAACACTCTCACAAATGCCACTCAAACTCACATACACGCACTCACTTAAAAACACACAACTGCCATCAGCTGCTCAAACTCACACACGCAGACTCTTGTACACTCTCACTTACACCGTCAAGCGAACTCAGGCGCACAATCGCAAACATTCTCACCCAGCCACCAACTCACACTCACCTGCAGTGTCACAATCTCACTCACATCCATTAAAACTCACCCAAACGCTCACTCGCACGCTCTTACTCTCACACTCATACTTGCCATCTCATTTGCAATTGCACCCACTAAAACGCAAACATGCTCTCACTCGCTCGCTCACTCATTTATTCACATGCCCTAACTCTAACTCGCACTAACTACACGTACACTCAGGCCCGCATCGCCGTATACTCACACACTCACTCATTTGCATACTCACGCTCACTCCCTCAGGTCCACTCACTCACACTCCCTCTGTTAGAACATAGTCACTATCTTAATCACGCAAAACCACACTCACACTCCATCCCCTCAAACGGGTCAATTTCACCTTTTTTCAAAGCCTTGTCGATAAGCGCCTGCAACTCCAGCGCCTGCTTGTTGCCCGGCTCGTTCCTCAGGAGGATGCGGATGTACTTCAGGGCTTCTTCGTACTCCTACACGCAGAGATGCACAATGTTCATTACTTTTGCTCACTCCTTTATTTACTCGTGTACATGTTCCAAGAGAACATGACTGATGTGGTCGAGCTTTTCACCTTCAGTCGATAGTTGGCAACAGCAAGGTAGAAGAAGAAGTCGCGCGTGTCGTCCTTTGAGGCTTTCTGGACAAGTTCTTGAGCAAAACAACCCGCGAAATGTGAAAGGAACGCGATGGAAACGAGACAGAACCCATGTGGTTGGCAACACTCACCCTCCAACAACGCAATTCCTTTCTTGATGTCGTCGGTGTATTTGCTCCTGATCAGACACCAAGCGTATTCAAACTTAGTCTCTTTGGAAACGGCTCCCTTTGCCAGCTCATTGTTGTATTTCTTCTCAAATTTCTGAAAAAAATTAATACAATGAAGGAGTGAGCCACTAGATTCAGGCGCAATTTACACATGATCAAAACGGTTTTGCAGCTGCCTCAAATTGAGCCAGGAAAAAAGATGCAGTCAGGAAACTCAACTCAACTGTATTTATAGAGCACTTTCAAACAGCCATCGCTGCATACAAAGTGCTGTACATGGAGCAACTAACATATATACAACAATAAAGCAATAAATCAGTAACAAAGAAGGCAGTAGGCACCAAACAGTAAAACTAAGATCAAAAGTGAGTCATGCTGAGTCAATTGCCAAAGAATGCAAGTGAGTTTTGAGGCGGGTTTAAAGATGATATTTTTAGTCATTTTAGGGAAATCCAATAATCTGTCAGATATTCATTTTAAAAGATGATGCTATAAAATTAAGATACTCGATTTGAAACATATATAGAGATACGAGTTTGTTGGATGGAAGTGTCGATCAAAGACACAGTGTTAACAGGCCAGTCAAAGTTTTAAAAGGAACCTTAGCATTAGCTACCTATGTGACGTGACAAATTACTCGCCGTGAAATTAAAACTATTCGCCTACGGCTGGGTCAAAAGGGGGTTCCACGCACGTCTGTAAATCGGATTGCTAGCTGTCGAACGACGAGATGGGGGTGGGTAAAAAGTGTCTTAATAACAAAGGGGGAACTTACTAGAAGGTCTTCGGGAGCCACTACATCGCTCAACACGGCCTCCATGTTTGCGGAAATAGGACGCAGACATCACGCCTTTCTTTAGAAACGTCACCTGGGACGTCAGCATGAAGCCACAGTGGATAGGAAAAAAAATAAAGTACGAATAAAACTATAAATACATAGACTGTATTGTATTGAGTTTATTTATTTGTATTATTTATGAAATAATTAAATACGTCGGTCAAACGTACTCACTGTTGGCTTATATGGAACATCTGACCACGCCCATCTTTAGTCACGTTTCGTGTGATGTCAAGCCAGGCGAAGGCGAAACGGGAAAAATATTTTCATGTTAAAGATTCTATATAAATATACATATATATTTACATATATATGTATACACACACACACACACACACACACACACACACACACACACACACAGTATATAAGAACTAAAAGAAAATAAG